GGTGGTAGGGGCCTAAGCAAGTGCTACCATGGCAGCGAACGATCGGTTTTCGTCACCTCAGGCTTGAGCCACCATCCGGTGGAAGGTCGTTAACGAAGTGTGCCCCTTTTGGGCTTCCGTGGATGACGACCAAGCTCAACGAAATCACAATATATATATATATATACAGCGCGCGAGGATTATTTTTTAGGGCGCCCGCTTTTTCCTGGACGGACTCTGGCTGTGATTTGTGCGACCTCAGCACTGGGATTTGTTGGGAACAAAGGTGATTCGAGAGTTCGGAGAGCACGAGCTCATAGTTAGCACGAGCTTTGAAACTAGGCCCTAGGCAGGATCTCTCTAATTGCTAATTCTTGGACATTTCTTGGAAGATATGGATAACGGATCGCCGTTTAGATGGAGGCCAGCTGAGCTCAATCGCAGGCCTGGTTCGCGGGAGCCCTCCCACGCCACCACGATGCCAGCGAATCTGTCGACGCACTGGAGCTACAAATCCTCCAATGGCGCGAAGAGCGAACAGGCGAAGCACCGTTCTGTGAGCGGCGTCTGGGAGAGACCAAATCAAAGCCGAGAAGCCAAATCAAAGCCGAGAAGAAATTGGGCTCCGTAATGATGTCACTCAACCTGGCCGAGAAACCAATTCCTCGACCTAAGTCACAAACAAACAGTACCCCAGAAAGAATGCCCAAATAATAAGTCATTCCAACAACAACAATGCCCTACCCTCAGAATCCGGGCCCCTTCTCTAATGGAAAGGCACTTGAGGGTCCGGACGTTGGCGTTTGAGAAGGTCTGACCACTGGGTTTCGGTGGAGAATGCCCGAGCTCGGAGTCTGTAGGGTAGAAAGAACCCAGAGTGTTGACCAAGTTGGCCTCTACGGTGGATGGTTTCTTGGCTTCGCCAAGAGGGCCTTCCTGCCGGCCAGGGAGTGCCACGAAGCCCGCTGCATGGCTGCAAAAGGACAGCTAGGAAAGGACACCTAGGGAAACCATGGGTGCAAAGAAACAGTTTCTTTATAGGGCTATGTAGGGTCTGTCCTATTACCTGTAACAGTCAGTAAACCATAGGGTATTAGGATAGACCCAAGGGCTATGTCTATAGCGTACTTTGGAGGGCCCAGGTATGCCCAGGTCATTGTCACCATCAAAAGCGACCGCCTGACAATTCCTTTTGGTCAGCTGTGTCATAGTCTTGGACAAAGACAGGAAACTCCTTCTTTCCAAGAGCCTGCCCTGGCCGGTAGGCTTCTGGAAAAAGAATGTCCACAAGCCATCCTTACATTGTCCCATGACCGTGTTGGTGATCGCCTGGCTTTTCTCCTCGGTGATTTAGTTAGGTCAAGGAACCTGCCACAAAATATACGACGAAACTGCTTTTCGCGGCTTTGTTGAGCCGCTTTTAGCGCCGCCGTCTTAGCGGCAACACAAGGCGGCCATCAACCTCATCCTCCGATCCGCGCAACAAGAGGAACTTGACCTCCTTAGATCCTCGGCACTGGCACCAAAAACAGCCAGAGCAGATGGTGAGGAGTTGGCTACGCAGATGGAACTTGCCCATTTGCCTTCAGGTGTTTGTTGCCACAGGCAGAGGATCGTCCATTCGGTTGATCCATCCACGAATGGGTGAAAAGGTTGGTATTTACATGATTTTACATGTATTTACTCCCTGTGGATCCATGCCTTCTGAGAAGGTGGTTCGAGAAGTGATTCGATACACTGTTTATGTAGGCGCCAGGAGGTCCAAGGACCTTCGTTTGGTCCAGGCATGTGGATTTCTATATAGGGATCTGGTGTTGTAGAGGTATCCCTTGAGAGGAAGAAATCCGGAGAGCCAGTCAGTTGAACCCATTTGCTGAAGTGGATCTAAGGGGCCTTCAACCTGGTAGAAGATCGGAGGTGAAGATCGGAGGTGAAGGTCGTTGTGCAGCTGGCTTTGTTGATTATTTTGCACATGTTCTACTGTGTTGATGTTTGATTTGGATAGATGTTCTCGGACCTTCAAGAAAAACAACACCAAAGAGCGGTGAACTTTGTTGGTCTTAACCCTTAACCCCCGGGGCCTTTACCCTCTTCATCACAACGTCGCCCGTCGCCTTTCCCCTGAGGAATCCCTACGGGCGCAGCAGAATGCGAAGGTGCTGGCCCAACAATCGGATCCTTGGACTCACATTCCCAGACGCGACCTGTCTGGGACTGCCATAGGACTGCCGCCCCATCCAGAAAGACCCCCCCAGTGGCACCCTCCCTGGCCGTTTTGAAGGCCCAAACTGGCAGTCCCAGACAGGTCGCGTCTGGGACGATCTCCGCGGAGTCGGGGGTCGTCTGGAGTCGGTCGGGGCGAAGCATTCTCAGGACCAGTGAGATGGCACAAATCAATCCCTTTCGGGGGGGGGGGAGGTCTCGTGGTTTTGGGGCTGGGAGGGGGAGAGCACAGTTCGAAGACCACGAAAGTCCTGTGGGGCTCGTCCTGTGAGGCTTAGGGCGACTCGAGATTCGGAATATCTCACAGCAATGTCACGTGATGGCCTTAGACAGTCAGGCTATTTTAATGCCTACAGTATGTAGAACCCAACCTAGACCATCCATGTTAATATTATTCAGTGATAGTCATACATTTGGGTCATGGGGTAAATGTATGTATTATTATTCCATACAAGGATGCTCTGGGCCATACCTTCACCAGTTGACTCTGGTGAGGCTGTCATTTCAGACCAAACCAACGATTCACGAACAAGAAGTTCAACCGGTTCGGTCACCGAGCTTCAGTCCATCTTCCCCCCCAAAACCCACCTCCGCGGCTGCCGACGCGTGCTGCTGTACACTCGCGCGGCCTCGCTTGCGCTTGGCCTGGCGGTAACGTGCCTTCGTGACGGTCTGAGCCACGTCTTGAGGAGCGTATGAGGGAAGCCATCACTGAGATCTCTGAGTTGGATGAGATCGTTGAGGTGCCTACCTCTCCCGAGACCTCAGCGACCGACCTTGGGGGGATTGGGAGAGATGGGAGGGACTCGATCTGAGAGTCATCCAATAAATCCCAGTGAAAGGAATTCAGAAGTCAACGGTTCCCTTAGACAAATAGAACAAGCACGGGTGAATTTGATGATTTGGGCGGGTGCAGACCGTTTGGCTCACCAACGCTAGCTTCTTGGGCAAGAACAGAGGCTGTTATACTGTACGTATGGATGGTTCTGGCTTTTGAACTCGACAGGTGGTCCTATGCAGTGTCCAATGTCAGTCTTTGGGGTCCAAAAAGGGGGAATGAGAGATCCCAGACCCATGGGACTGGGAGAGTTACTCGATGTTACTTGCATTGGAGTCTTGTGCTTTTCATATGTTAATACATATTTAATACATGTCATGATCATGTGTATTCTTTGTCATGTTCGTCCTTACATGGATGGTCTAGGCCAGTTGACGTACATGATCATCCGGAAAACGGATAACCATTCCAAACGCGGCATTCCCGTCGCGGCGGCGGTACGAAGCTTCGAAGCCCTGGGGGGAAAACCAGGTGCAGAATGAACATTTGGATGGACATTCTATCATCTGTCCCTTGGAAGAAGGGCGGCTGCTTTGCGCAGGACCAGATCTTGGGGTTGGTCGAAGTGGATCAGTGGGTTCTAAAATCCTAGACATGTTCA